GGAAAGGAAACGTGATCTATCACCCATATTGCTACTTCTTTAAGCATTTTGAATGCTCTAGATCCAAGTTGGTTGATTCGTTACTTGGTTTGAATGCTGACCCGGCAAAATCAAGACATTCTTCTGAGATACAAACTGAACAATAAGTTGATAAAACAAGCAGCGTTATCAAAAGCAACAGCCAAAAATAAAGGAAGTTGCCTACACTATACTTGCTACCATTTTTATTGTGTGCTCTTGACAGTATGTGCTTTCCACCTCTGTGCATTGAGCCCCAGTGGCGCAGTGGCTAAAGTGCAGTATTGCAAGCTAACTTTGCATTCCCACAGCCTGGAGTTCGAGCCCGACTGCGTCAAGGTTGACTCAGCCTTCCATTCGAGGTCAGTAAAATGAGGACCCAGATTGTTGGGGGCAATATGCTGACACTGTAAACCACTCAAAGAGGGGCTGCAAAGTGCAATGGGGTGGTATGTAAGCCTAAATGCTCTTGCAATGAGTGATGTTCATGCTTGTAATTTTCCATTGGAAAGGGGTTTTTCAATGTCCCACCTGATCCCACCTCCTAGATACCTCGATTCATTTCATCTTCACTTGCACGGAGAACATTCATGCTTAGAGTACCAACGTCAGTTAGGAAGGTGAAGATTGGCTGTATCCAAGTATGGGCAGTTCTGTTCATGAGATAACCAGCCGCAACCCATCCTTCATAGATCAATGCATTCTTTTTTTTAAAAAAAAGAGTGCTAGATCACAAAGTGCTGAATTCAAATATTGGTGATAGAAGGACCCACGTGCAGAGAGGCACAGAGGCAAGACATGTCCTTGCTTCCGCAGCCAGGCTGCTACAGGTTCGGGAGAACCCATAGTTAATGTTATGGCCGGTTTGGAGAACCTCCAAATCCCACCCCTGGCTGGCCCTGCCCATCCCTCCGAGGAGTCTCCTCGTGGCTTGTTTTGGATATGAGCAGAGGTGGGTTCCTACCAGTTCGCACCTATTCGGTAAAACCAGTTCGTCAAATTTACTGAACCGGTTAGAAGAGGTTCCACCAGCGGACCCAGAAAGCAGGCCACAGCTACAGAAGAGGTTCCAAAAATTTTTTGAAACCCACCACTGGATACGAGGTAAGTGCAGGGCCTGCATGGAGGCTCAGGGAGGGAGAAAAGTTCTAAAAGGCCAAAAATGGGCCCGTTTCCTGCTTCGGGAAGGCCTCCAGACACCAAGAAAGGCCATTTTCACCCTCCCAGAAGCTCAGGTTAAGCCACCAGAGCCTGGGGAAGGCGAAAATGTTCCCCCACCCGCTGTGGTGCAAGAGGCTGAGTAGGCCACGACCACCTAGCAACTGGACAGAGAACCCGTTGCTGAAATTTTTGAGGCCCACCCCTGGACACCACTACAGCATCTGAGGCACACGTGACTCCAAGTGTACCGCCCAGCAATCATTTTGCGCCTAATCAGAGCTACCATAAAATGGACAGAGCCAACATTTGCAGTTTTTGCTTTTGAGTCTGAGGGAGGAGGCAGAGGAGGATTGGGAGGAGGACAGTGGTGAGATTCAAAAAAAATTACTACTGGTTCTGTGGGGGTGGCTTGATGGGCGTGGCTTGGTGGGCGTGGCAGGGGAAGGATACTATAAAATCTCCATTCCCATCCCACTCCAGGGCAAGGAACCTGTAAAATCTCCATTCCCTCCCTACTCCAGGGGAAGGTTACTGCAAAATCCCCATTTCCTCGGGACTCGGGAGGCAGAAAATAGATGGGGGCGNGTATACATGTGATTATATGCTATGAAAATGGAAAATAAACAAATTTTCTATCAGGAAAAAAAATAGTCCATTAAACAATGCACACAAATTACCATATTTTTGGAGTATGACACACCAAAATTTTGAAGAGGCAGATTTTTTTTAAAAAGGTTTTGTACCTCCCAAAAGCGGTCCATTTTTCGCGAGAATTGGCCCGTTTGTTGTCAAAAAAGGGCATACATACTATTTAGGAGGCTTGTAGAGTGCTCCTGCCCCCCCCCCCCAAATGAGCAAACAACAGCCCATTTTTTGCAAAAATTGGCCTGTTTTTTGCCAAAAAAGGGCATGCTTAGCCTTTGGAAGGCTGATAGAGTGCTCCTGGGGGCTGGAGGATCAAAAATGAGCAAAAAACGGTCTGTTTTTCACTAATTTTTGCCCTCCCCAGCCCCCAGGAGCACCCTGGAAGCTTCCTTAAGGCTATGCATGGCCATTTTTGCAAAGGGGGCAGGGTTTCAGGAGGCCAAAAAAATGCTGTATTCAGTGTATAAGACGCACCCAGATTTTCACCCTCTTTTTTAAGGGAAAAAGGTGCGTCTTATACTCCGAAAAATACGGTAAACTTTGTTTTGCTCCTGGGAGTATTTTATTTGCTTTTGTTTGCATGTTGCTCTTTTGGTTGATTTTTCTTTTTACCACATCGTTTTTTCAATTGTTTAGGAGCCTAGTGGTTCCACTTCAGAAAAGTCAGTTTTGCAGCAATTCTTCTCAGCCCCAAGGAGGTTACAATCAACAAGTCGCTCTCTGTCTCTCTCTTTCTGTTTCTCTCTTTCTGTCTCTCCCTCTCTTTCTCTATCCTTTGGAGGTGGAGGAGGTGAAAAACAGGCCCATTTTTGGCCTCCCTCTACAGGCAAAAAAATGGGCAAAAATGGCCTGTTTTTTGGGCCAAAAACAGGTGAAAAACCGTCCATATTTTGGCCTTCTGGGACATATGTGCACCCCATTTTTCATGTCCCCCACCTCCAACACGTCTCTGCAGGCCGAAAATGGGTGAAAATGGCTCATATTTTGTGCCTTCTGGAGCATCTGCATGCCCCATTTAGCAGTTAGCAATAGCAATAGCAGTTAGACTTATATACCGCTTCATAGGGCTTTCAGCCCTCTCTAAGCGGTTTACAGAGTCAGCATNCTCTCTCTCTCTCTCTCTCTCTCTCTCTCTCTCTCTCTCTCTCTCTCTCTCTCTCTCTGACATGAGTAGAAGTTAGAAATGAAAAGAAATGAAAAGTTTTAATAAAGGATGATATGATTAAAAGCTAGAATATGTGATAGAAATACCGTATTTTTCGGAGTATAAGACACACCTTTTTCCCTCAAAAAAGAGGGTGAAAATCTGGGTGCATCTTATACACTGAATACAGCATTTTTGGCCCCCTGAAACCCCACCCCCTTTGCAAAAATGGCCATGTATAGCCTTTAGGAGGCTTCCAGAGTGCTCCTGGGGGCTGGGGAGGGCAAAAATGAGGGGAAAATGGCCCCCAGGAGCACTCTGGAAGCCTCCTAAAGGCTATGTGTGCCCCTTTTTTTGACAAAAAACCGGGCCCATTTTTGTGAAAAATGGGCCATTTTTTGGAGGTCTGCAGAGTGAAAAAACTTTTTTTTAAAAAATTACCTCTTTAAAATCATGGTGCGTCTTATACTCCGAAAAATACGGTAACTGAACAATGATAGATTGCAACAAGATATGTATGACAAATGTGTATCATTTACTAGAAATATATAAGTTGTTGAATGTAATAATTATGATGAACCTTGTTAGTTTTATTTGTATTAGAATATGTGACACCCAGATGTCACACTGTTCACACATTGATTTGATACATTTATAAAAAATAAAAATCTTGATTAAAAAAAGAACATTCTCTTTAAAAACAGTACCTGCCCCCTCCTAAGGGGCAGAAGGAAATTTTCTTTGGAAGGTGCTAAGTTGGCTTTCTCTCCTAGATCAATGTGCTCCTCCAAGCTTTTATCTCTCAGCTGAAACTCGAAGGTTTTGCCCTAATGGCGGACATGGTCTACGTCACTCAGGTGAGCCGCAGTTCCGAGGTAATTTGATGCCTCTGTAGTTGGGTGTGGCTGTCCTAATGTTGGAGAAGTCCATCCCAAGGTTGTCAGATCCTTGTGAAACCTGAAGATTTGGTTTTTTTCTTCTTGTGTGTGTAAAGTTTTTTTTATTTTTCGTTAAAAATTTTAAAAATTCTTTTATACATAATTAATTTTACATCTCATTATCATTTCTAATTTCAGCCCCACATTTTCTTACCCTATGTCCATCTTAAGTTTAAAGTTTTCTTAACAAATAAACACAATCATTTTTACCCTTTCAGAAAAAAGTATACCAACTTTATCAGTTCATTTTCCATTTGTTATTTCTAGCTTCTATATGCAGCATATATCATCAAATCCATTTTAATATAATCAGCATTTTACTTAATTGGTTATCCACACTTAACAATATTATCTTATTTAGCTATATATCAACAGTATCATCATATTTCATTTTCTACCAAAATCTCTTTTTTTTAACTTTCCTCCTTTTCCTAACCATTTTCTCTTAACTCATCTCTTGTTCTCTTTAATGTTCTATCTTTCTTCAGCTTTCTTTTTCTCCTCCTATCTCCTACTCTTAAATTCCCTTATTTAAACATTTGGTTTTTTTCCTATTTCATGAAATATTAAAAATCATAAAGCCCTTGGTGGACAAGAATCTACTTTGTCCAATCTATCTCTTGATTGTCCAAAGTTGTACGGTCGAGGGTGTTAAGGGAGGAGGGATGCCACCAAAGTCTGGTCATCTGAAGGATGGAATGGGAGCTTCAAATCCTGACAGTTTAGGATTAAGGAGGCAATGGTTCTTTGGCTTGTCAGGAAATTAAAAGCCCTCTGGGATGGCATGTAGAGTATTTTCCTCTCTCTCTAGGTACCAGTTGTGTGTTGAAATTGACAGTCTGTTTTGAATTCTTAGTCTGCCGGACGGCTCATGCGTGCCATCTTTGAGATTGTCCTTAACCGTGGCTGGGCACAGCTCACCGACAAAACCCTCAACCTTTGCAAGATGATTGACAAGCGAATGTAAGACAGCTTCTCTTAATTTTTCATATTTCTTGTAGCTTCTATCTGATAACGCCATCTGCCCGTCATACAATTTTGTTTCTCTGCATGGCTTGTTCAGAAATAAATCTCAGTTTAGTTCCATATAAATATTAGTGGATTGTATGAAATGGGTCTTAAGGCTTCAGATACGAAGGACCAACCTGTTCAATGTATATTAAGGTAAAAGTTCCCCTCGCACATAGGTGCTCTAGAGGGCGGTGCTCATCTCTGTTTCAAAGCCAAAGAGTCAGTGCTGTCCAAAAATGTCTCCGTGGTCATGTGGGCAGCATGACTCAACGCCAAAGGCACACGGAACTCTCTTACCTTCCTAAGACGCTGAGCTTGTCGATCAGAAAAGTCAGCAGTTCGGCGGTTCGAATCCCTAGCGCCATGTAACGGAGTGAGCTCCCGCTCCTTGTCCCAGCGCCTTCAGCATTGAGTCATGCCGGCCACATGACCACGGAGACGTCTTTGGACAGCACTGGCTCTTCGGCTTTGAAACGGAGATGAGCACCCCCCCCCCTAGAGTCAGGAACGACTAGCACATATGTGCAAGGGGAACCTTTACCTTTGGAGATGCTAACCATTGAAATAAAACTATTGTGCTGGATCCTGAGTGGCAACCTTCTTGTTCGTACAGGTGGCAGTCCATGTGCCCCCTCCGACAGTTCAGGAAACTGCCTGAAGAGGTGGTGAAGAAAATTGAGAAGAAAAACTTCCCATTTGAGCGACTCTATGACCTGAATCACAACGAAATAGGTCAGTGACCGGGACAGCGGTATCTCTTAGAGAGGGGAGTGATGTAAATTGGGGAGGGCTCCATCTGTAGGCCAACAAAGGGACTGCATCCCTTTGCAGTGTGTGTATTGCTCAGTTTTGTAACACTACCTAGTTGAATGCACATCTTTGATCCTTTTTTATCCTGAATGAAATGTTCAGATTATGGCTGGATTTGAAGAAACCAAAACGTAGACTAGTGAGGACCCAACAGAAGTGACTATGTGTTATGTAGATTGTTGCAATAAATAGAAATTGTAATTAATTGGATATTTCTAAGTAAATTAAATAAGTTAAAACAGTAAACTCCTAAAGGCCATTTGACTACACGAATACAAATTGGTGTTTGATGATGAAAATGAAGACTCAATTTTCCAGGCCAAAAGTATTTAAAAGGCTAAATCATGGCAATTTGGTTCAGACATACAAAGATTTGACCTCACATTGAAAAATGAGTTGTTGAGTAAACTAAAAATGCCTGAGGTCACATTGACATTGTAAGCCATAAACCATGATTTATAAACCCAGTGACTGCATGTTTAATCTGCACCACGCAAAAAGCTTACCATGATGTGTGAACCCAGCCACAGGGAATAACAGCCCTGGTGTCAAGATTTGAAGCGTAGGGCTTTCACTTTTACTATTTCTCAACAAATTATGGGGGAGGGACGGGAGAATTGGAATGTGGATTGTAACCATCAAGCACTCAGCCTGTGAGAACCAAGATCACTTCAGCAGGTGTTTGCCAGACCTTCCAGGCCTCTTCTCACAACAATATTTTGATGCTTAATTGGACAGTGTGGCCTACACTAATTGGAGGGAGAGAAGATTCTATATTTTAGTTACATTGAATTGCGTGGGAATTAGCCAGAGCTGGTTTTGCTTTCATTCTGCGCTGAAATGATGTACACAATAAAGTTTTGCATTAAGAGATCGGATCATCTCGATAGTGCTTGCTACGTTGGGTCTGTCCGTTGGAACCTTGACCCCTGGTTCTCATGTTCCTGAGAAAATCAAACTTCTCTTCCTCTTCACCAATACTGTCCTTCTGCAGGAGAGCTCATTCGGATGCCCAAGATGGGGAAGACGATCCACAAGTACGTCCACTTGTTCCCCAAGTTGGAGCTGTCTGTCCACTTGCAGCCCATCACCAGGTCTACTTTGAAAGTGGAGCTAACCATTACTCCTGATTTCCAGTGGGATGAAAAGGTAAACACATACAATCATGGAATCTGGAGGAACAATTTGCAGTAATATTGAGGAGGTGGGATCTGAGGGTCACCTGTAGATGAGGCCCTTCATGGTGGAGAAACTCCCTTCAATCTTGGTTTGGTGACTCTCCTTCTTTCCTTCCTTGATTACGATCCCATCTCTCCTCTTTTTTTGGGGAGACAGGTCCATGGTTCTTCTGAAGCCTTCTGGATTTTGGTGGAAGATGTGGACAGTGAGGTGATCCTCCATCATGAGTATTTCCTTCTGAAGGCCAAGTATGCTCAAGACGAGCACCTCATCACCTTCTTCGTGCCAGTTTTTGAGCCTCTTCCTCCGCAGTACTTCATTCGGGTGGTCTCGGATCGCTGGCTTTGTAAGTCCCTGGAGAAAGAAAGCTTGTGCTTTCTTGATGGAAACAGTGACATTGTGGGATGTTATGAAGGCATCCCATCTGTGCATAAGCATTTTCTTGCCAATACTAATCCAGTCTGGTATCTAGTAAGAATTGTGGTGGCGTAGTAGTTAGAAAGCAGTACTGCAGGCTGACTGCCCACTGTCGGTAGTTCGATCCTGACCGGCTCAAGATTAACTCAGCCTTCAATTCCATTTGAGGTTTTTCTCCTCAACCTCTTGCTGCCCGGGTGTCTTCAGGTGTCCCTGTTTCTCAGGTGTGTTTGTCTGCTTGCTCCTTCCAGCCTGCGAGACGCAACTGCCAGTGTCCTTCCGACACTTAATCCTGCCAGAGAAGTACCCTCCTCCCACTGAACTGCTGGACCTGCAGCCCCTGCCAGTCTCTGCGTTGCGGAACAGCGCATTTGAGGGCCTCTACCAAGACAAGTTCCCTTTCTTCAATCCTATCCAGACCCAAGGTAGGCATCGCAGAGGGTCAATCCTGGCTAAAAATGTATTTATTTGAGCCTGGAGCACTTCTGGGAGATTTTGCAAATTCAACACAGGGATATCTAATAAACAAGAGCTAGCTTGAGCCACCAGGAACTAAAAAAATAAAATAAAATTGACTGTTGGTAAGTCAGCTTGTTTCTCTTTCATGTCTAGTATTCAATACGGTCTACAACAGTGATGAAAATGTCTTTGTGGGTGCGCCGACTGGCAGCGGGAAGACCATCTGCGCTGAGTTTGCCATCCTGAGGATGCTGCTGCAGAACGTGGAAGGCCGCTGCGTCTACATCACTCCCATGGAGGCTCTCGCCGAGCAGGTGCCAAGTTCCGAGCCATTTTTTTAAAAAATCTGCTCTTCCCAAGGAAGGGAATAGATCAGAGCTCATTGAAGGTTGCTCCCTCTACAGTAGGGTTGGGGAACCCTGGTCCTTTTGGGAATTCTGGACTTCAACTCCCAAAATTCCTGAGCCAGCATGGGGCACCTCGGCCCTTTTATGACTTGTGGATTTCAACTCCTGGAATTACTGAGCCAGCATGGGGAATCCTGGTCCTTTTGTAAATTGTGGACTTCAACTCCCAGAATTCCCAAGCCTTCAGGAATTCTGGGAGTTGGTCTACCAGCCATAAAAGAGCCAGGGTTCCCCAGCCATGCTGCTACAGAATCTCACAGGCAGCAGATGTGAAAAAGAGGGGTGTGTGTGTGAGGGGATTAGCGAGACTAGAAGAGGCCAAGCCAGCTGAGGTTTGAGATGGAGAGTCTCTGAAGATGTTCTCCCCTTCCTTGTCTTCCTTCTCCGAGGCAGATCTTCCTAGACTGGTACGAGAAATTCCAGGAGCGGCTCCTTAAAGTCGTCTTGCTGACGGGAGAGACAAGCACGGATCTGAAGTTGCTGGGGAAGGGCAATATCATTATCAGCACCCCGGAAAAGTGGGACATCCTGTCCCGGCGATGGAAGCAGCGCAAAAATGTGCAGAATGTTAATCTCTTCATTGTGGACGAGGTCCACCTCATTGGCGGCGAGAACGGGGTGAGTTTCCAGCCGAGAAATGGCTTGCTTTGAAAGGGAGCGAGTGCTTCTCAGCTTCCTGTTGTTTTATTCTTCTATGGAGCGTTGCTAATGGAAAATCACTTAAATATGAGCCAGCTAATGTGAGGTCCAGCTCAGTTCAGCAGATGTCTTCATGAATGTTTAGGATGCCTGTAAATTTTCAATCTACTTATAATAAGGTTAATTAGTTGGAGAAAGAGCTCTCAAAACTCCAGGTATTTTTTTGCCATCATAGACTTGATATACCTCTTTTCCAACATCCTACATACCCTGTTTCCCTGAAAATAAGACCTTCCCGGATAATAATACCAATCGGGTTTTTGAGCGTGCATGTGCTAAAATAAGCCCTCCCCTGAAAATAAGCCCTCCCCAAAATATTTAACCGCATGAGCAGCTGGTCCCTGCCATTTCCTCTGGTTGCTTGTCCCACAAACATGAGGTGAGGAAGCGAAGCCAGAGGGGGTGGAAAGGGAACGGGAACATGCCCCATGCACCCTACATGCCCTTACTTAATGGCTGCTCCTGCAACTCTAGCTACTGCGCCCCTTCTGTCACGCTAATGGCAGCAGCAAAAAGAGCGGCAAGTCCAGCAACGCACAACACAGCAGCAGCCATGAGGTGACCACATTCACCGCCTCCTTCACCTCGAAAATATTAAGGCCTCCCCAAAAATAAGGCCAAGTGCTTATTTTTTTGGGGTGGTGGTGTCAAAAGAAAATAAGACCCTGTCTTAATTTGGGTAAACACAGCACAGTAGTTTTAATTCCAGCGATAAATTGTGCCTCCTTATAAATCATGTGTCAGGGTTCCAAATAGCATCCACAAGTAAATCAGAGTCTGAGGCAAAGTATTGCTCAAAGTTCCAATTGATTAAGAGAGCCATGTTGGCACATCTGGGAAAACCCAAATCTGAAGCTTCCCGGTTTTCCACACCCAGTTGAAAGTTCAAGATCTTGCCCCCAACATCCACAAGTCCATCCCATGGTCCAAATCTTCCCCTGCCATGCTGGCAGTCCCACCCATCCAGTTCTGGTCAGGTGCAGAGGTGCAGAGACAAAGGATGACGACCTTGACTTTCTAGAAATAATGTTGTTATGGCTACATCGCATCCAACTCTGTTCAATTCCCCCTCCCCTTTTCCCACAATAGAAAATGCATAGTAGAATAATAGAAAGTGGCAGGCCAAAGATTCAAAAGAAAAGATTGCTGCAGGCCTGACATCATGTCTGGATTTTAAAACATACATTAGCTGTAGAATTGTAACTGGCTGACAAATCACACTCAACATATAGCCCTTAATGGAAGTACATCTACATGGAGGGGAAGAAGTAGTGGGATTCCCCCAAGTACTCTTCCTAAACTATTTAGATGAAGGGATAGAAGCGGAACTCCTCAAATTTGCAGATGACATTAAACTGGCAGGGACAGCCAACACCCCAGAAGACAGGCTCAAGATGCAGATGGATTTCCAGAAACTAGAACATTGGATCCTATCTAAGAAAATGAAACTCAGTGATGAGAAAATAATCAGGGTTTACACTTAAGGCAAGAAAAATTAGTGGTATCAAATAGATGATGATGTTCATCCATTGTGTTCAAAGAGGACCTTGGCATCTAACCACTTGTGGGCTGGCCATGGTATGTTCGTAGGTGGCAGATAAGACCTATACGGGCACGGAATGTTATGCCACATGTCGGGCAGGCATGTGTGGGCACTATTGTTGCAGCATTTCCAGCTCTGGCTTTGTGGAGTGCTCTATCTCATATTGAATACATAAAGTCTGGCTCAATAGTGGCAACTGTAAGAAGAATATTGGATGTCCCTGACTCAATTTCTCTCTCTTTTTGTTTCTTTTGACAGCCAGTCCTGGAGGTGATCTGTTCCCGAATGCGCTACATCTCCTCGCAGATCGAGCGGCCCATCCGCATTGTGGCCCTCAGCTCGTCCTTGTCCAATGCCAAGGATGTGGCCCATTGGCTTGGTTGCAGTGCTACGGCCACCTTCAATTTCCACCCCAATGTGCGCCCTGTTCCTCTGGAGCTCCACATCCAGGTAAGCCTCCCTCTCTTTCAGATGGGCAGCTCTGACCACGCAGAGCTCCTCCTGCAAATCGGTCCATTGATCAAGTTACCTCTGTGGTCACCTTCATTGATTGACAGAAGCTTTGTGTGATGACCTGGGGCATGGCACAGAGATATCACAGGCAGCTGGCACTTCAAACCGCCCCTTTGTTGCTCCAAATTTCCCAAACGCTCCCATGTTTCTGGCAAGTTCCAGAGCAAAGTGAGGACAGACAGACAGACAGACAGACAGACAGACACACACACACACACACACACACACANCTCCCATAGGATATAAAGGAGGAGCAAAGGCACATGAGCCTTTGTAGGAAGCAACTTGGTTCATGCTGGTCAGTTTACCTTCTGAAGCTCCATTTTGACTCTTTGCTCCATGTGGCCTTGCCAAGCTAATTGCCAATTAAGTCTTTGGCAGCATGTCAAGGAAGATAAGGGTGGCTTTATCAGCCTTATCCCAAAGGACATTGGCAGCCTACTGTAGGACTCTTTACAACTATTTGGGACTCCTTACAGGCTGTGAATGAACATAATTCACAGCCTTTGAAATAAAGAGAGGGTTTTAGGGGCTAAGTGTGTGCTTTTTACTGTATCAGGAAGCCCAGGTCAGAACAAGGGGAGGCTTCTGTGGGGCAAGCCGGAGTGAGAGAAGGGGAGAGGAGAGGTTGATAGTAACTACTCATTAATTTTCAAGCTGCATCAATTTATCAAGCCCAATCACACAGTTTCGTAGTGGAGCTAGTATCAATTATAAAGACATTAGAATCCATTGAACATTTATAGTGTTGGAAGACACAAATCGTTTGGCACTCTTCAATCAAATATCCCATAAATAGCAGACAAACAATATATCTACTTCTTTCATAGGCCTTTATGACAAAACTGAAAAATTTCTGACAGGAAAAAAGGAAATTTCACATTTTGGAAAAACAACTGCAAGTACTGCAACATGTCATAGAAAATGGTCACATAACCCCAGTTTTCCATTAAATGAAATTTGGTCAACAGATTTTTCAGGGCCAGCTATTTCAAGTCAAAATGTTGCCTCTTTATATTCCAGAGACAACATTTCAAGTAATATTAGCTCCAGAAGGACAAGGTACATCAATTCCTTTTGCATGTAGCCAATTCATAATTGAAAACAAAGTAGAGTAGCACAGTACATTACTCTCCAGCATGGTATATTGCCATTTTGTTTGAATTAAAATAATATCTCTCTGCTATAATAATAAATCTACCATTTTTTACCAGCTTACAGCTACGAGGCAGCAGTTGTTGGTACAATTTTTACAAAACAGTGTATGTAAAGGACTCAAGCTTAATTACTATTAAAATAGGAAAACACTTGTTTGAAAATGCCATTTTGGGAGGGAAAATGGAATGGTGGACTAAAACTGTTCCATGGCAGTTGAGACTGTTAAGAAGGGAAGGGACACAGTGTGTCAGCCAGCAGTAGCATAAAATGAATGGGTTCCTACCCAGGGTAAGAAGGAATCATCTCTTCAGTGTGAAAATAAATAAAAAGCCAGACTCAATGAACAACTGAAGGGGAAGTTTACTACTAAACCTAGAACAGCGTGAGTATCATATTATCAAAAACAAACATTTAATTACCTTACTATTTTTTTTAACAAAAGCTGTAGACTGCTTTGCTATTCATTTATTTTTGTAAGGCTTTGCTCTTCTATTTTTATTAGTACAGGTCTCATAGAAATTTGAATTTGGCAAATTTTAATCTATTAGCATTCAAAAATACTGAGACTTTACAAATATAAAAAATAGTTTTAGCTGTTTTAAAATAATCATGTTGATTAGAACTGGCCCTCTTACTGCAATCACAGCAATTGAATTGTTGCCTTATAACCCTTTATGATTCTCAAGAAAATTCAGGCTGACTGTTCCCATTGTATATGCAACAGCACACTTAAAATATATCCTGGAATTAAGCATCTGCCATGCTTCTTTCCTTCACAGACTTAAAAGAAGACTGACAGGCCATAGCAAGACTAGGGGTACAATTTATCTTTAATATTTACTAAATAATTTCACAATATCAAAGAGTCAATTTTACTATTCCAAATATACTCCCATGACCCATAACAAACAACCAGATTATTGGATGAACTGAAACTGTTAGCATGTTTGTGTCATGTCACTTCTGAAGTAGTTGTTAGTATAGTACATTGCTTCAGTATCTTCCCAGGTATTGAAAATGCAGAAAGTGTCCTGCTTTTTGCTGAGAAGCCAACTGTTATAGCTAGAAGTAACAAAACCCAACTTCTCCTTCAGTGCAGGATAAAATCTTTACTAGCTTCTCTATATGTCTACTCAAATCCAAGCCTCAGTACTCCAATGGAGTTATGCTCAAGTGATTTATATGCACAACCAAATTAGCCTTAAACTGTCCTTTTGAGTTTAGTAGCAGTTAAGACTTTGTAAATGATTTTCAAAACTAGAAGATTTCCAACTAGATAGATCTCCATGCATTAAAACTGGAATATATAAGGAAATTATTCAAAACACTATAACATACACCACATCAATTTACTGGCTTTCTTATCTATTCTACCAGAATGAATCAGAAGGAGGATTGAGATTTGAAACTCTTTCTGGGAACAAGTGTCACTTTGTTCCTTGTAACAGCAGTTAAATAATAGTTAGTTTCCCCCCCTTTTTCCTCTTCCTTCAACATCCTGATAGGGAAATTGTATATTCTGTTTTCTGCACTTACTCGGGAAGGATTGATTTTAATCAAGGTGATTGTAATCAATTAATTAAAAAAGAAATATGACAAAATAACAAACTAATACACATTTTCCCACTTAAAAGTAGTACATCTAGTGAATAAACTATGTCAATTTAAATTAAGTATGAATTGTATCCTCTTAAACATTTTGGAAGACTTTTTCTATTTACCCAGAGAAAACATTTTTATGAGTATTTCCAACAATGTGTAAGCTTACAAAAATATAAAAATATACAGATAATCCACTTATAATCACAATGGAGCCCAAAAATTTAGTCAGAAGTCATTGCAGTCACAAGTCCAGACACTGCGTGTCCAGGTTGATGGTTTTTGCCATTTTCTGACCATAGAATGCTGCAACCTGTTATAATTGCAAACCAGTGCTCAAAATGTGATCACATGACTTATAATTTTGAAGATGAGCCGTAAGTAGCTTTTTAAAAGTCCCCCTTTATTTTGAATGGTTATTAAGAAATCAGTTGTAAGTCTAGGACAACCTGCAGGGATCCCTATGCTAGAGAGGCTTAACATTTTTTTTAATTCAATGTGCATAATAATTAATTCAGACATTAATTTTTAGAGCTATGACTACATCTCAATGTACTGTACTTAACAAAAACTTAGTATCTTCCATTTTTATTCATCTATTTTATTCATTTATTCATTTTTATAATTGATTTGCATTGTTTCAGTTTAAAGAATTTCAAAATCTACTAATTCAAAAGCTCCAAAAGTGGTAGTTTGATATAATAGTCAGAACACCAGGCTAGAAACTAAGAGACTGAGAGTTCTAGTCTTAGGCACAAAGCCTTGGGTGACCTTGGGCCGGTTACTCTCTTTCAAGCCCTATGAAAGAGGCAATGGTAAACCACCTCCAAAATCTTACCAAAATAAACGTAGATTCAGGCTGTCATCAGGAGTCTACACTAGCTCAAAGGAACATGTGTACACACACAAAACTCTAAAGTTGTAAATGATACATTATCTTGAAAGTTTTACCAATTTAAATATGTTTAGAAAAACGTTTTATTGAAGACTGAGTCTAGTAGATGCTTTATAGGTAATGGCATTAAGTAACTGAGGTAGGACAGATTTCTACTTGATGGTAAAAGCACTGAAAAATTAACAGATTAGGAGCTTCTGTACTTATAATTTTGCTATCCTGCCTATTTTTCCGTGATCCTAAATAGGATGTTTTGTCCAGAAAACATAGCAGTCATGTAAAGTGAAATTAATGTTTCATATATTTTCAAAGCCAATCTTATTTCCACTATACAATCTCTCCTCATGAATGAAATAGTAGTAGTCAACCTAGACTATTGCAATTGCTTTGCAAAAAATAAGCCAATAGAACTTCTAATTAATGACCTTAATAAAACTAATATCATAATTAAAGGTTGTTTCACAAAGAAAATTTTCTTAAACGTTTGATCCAAGAATTTAAAGCTATCCCATTTTTCAAGTCAAAAATATTTTTTTAAAAAGTTTGAGAGAAACTTAATTTTTATTGTAACCCAAGCTATGGAGAAGTTTGATGTAGTTGTAGGACATCAGGCTAGAAACCAAGAGACAGTTAAGTTCTAATCCCGCCTTAGGTACAAAACCAGCTGAGCCAGTCACTTTCTCTCAGCCCTAGGAAAGAGGCAATGACAATTACTCTTGAAAAACCTTGCCAAGAAAACTGCAGGGATCTCTTGTTAATGGTCAATAGTGCAAAGAGGCATATATCATAAAATATAACACTTTAGTGATTATCCCTTGTTTATTGGGAGTAATTTAGCCAAATACAAGGTCTTGAATAAACTATGATATACCTTAATTCTTTAAGAAAATATCTCCTCCTGATAGCCAATGAACAAATTTCAGTTCCTACAGGTTCTTACAACTAACAGTTTAAGTTTTATTTACTCCTATTTCAACAACATTGTTTCAGGTTTAATCAAGGTAATAAGTATATAAAGATCACATAAGAAAATTTGTAAACAAAAAACATTCTGGCGGTTTAGCAATCAAACTTTTATATAAATTAGCTATATTTATTAGCTTATCAAAATCAAAGGATTGTTTGTTTTAAACATAACCAAATGCATAGGTTTTTGTCTATTAACTAAAAGACGTTTTCACCATTAAAAATAATAATAATCAGATTCAGGAAGTAAGATTACTTCTAAGCAGATCAATCCTACGCTTACCTATATAGTTCAGCTTATTTAATTGCTTAGCTTTTATACACAAAACATTACAATTTATTTAATGAAGTGTACAAAAAATTGACTCACAGCCAAGTCCTCCAAAATAGCATTTTCAAGTTTTTAACAAGGTTACATAAATAGGGTATGCTTTTGCTACTATAAAAAGATGCTTTATCAATGGCATTTTACCACCTAATTGAATAAAATACCTACAAAAACTAGAAGATATCTTTTAAGATGCATATAGAAATTCTAGGAAAAGGTGCATATTGTTAAAAACAAATCTTCTGTATATTTCCCCTGGAGTAAACTCTACTGAAGCCAGCACCATTAACATACCTGGTATGAGCCACATAGGAGCAAACTTCATAGGTTTATTATTAATAAAGCAAGCATATTTAAAAGCAGTCACCAAACACCCCAAAACAGACTCTGAACAGCCTATACCTCAGAATAAAATCAAGAGACGCTTAAAACAGATAAATTGCAAGCAGAAAGTAGGAGATATTTTCATAAAACAATGAAAAGTAGATACTGTTTCTTACTAGGAAAGCAGGCTCAGTGGGTTTCTTTCATATTATTCTTTATACAGTAATAAATATAATAAATAAGACTGAGGCAAAGTATCTGTGATCCATATATTTCTGTAAATTATAACAAGGATAACACTGGTAAGAAATTAATATATTTCTTAGCCAATATTCCAAATTAGCTTTTATTTTCATACTAACACCAAATCAAGTAAAATTTACATCCTCTCATACAATCCAAGGCTCTTCATAACCTTTCATTTTAATTTTTATAGGATATTAAAAATCTTCATAGACTAAAGATATTAGGTGGATTTCATACCATTTAGACAGACTCTATTTCCCAACAATATAGCAGCTTCCATTTTTCCCCATTACAAATTATTATCTATGGTGGAGATATAATGATTAGCACTGTAATAAGCAAAGATCTCAAGGGTTTTATGTTTATTTTTATTTTTAAAAAACCAAATCTTTAAAAATGCTACCGACAAAGAGAAATGAGATTCTTACACATTCTTATACTTATTACATCTTACAAGGCTGCCAACATTGCAACTTGGAGAGCATCATTCTAACAAAGCAATATATTTAGAAAGGAGCAGTAAATCCCAAAGAAACAGAGATTGGTTCCAAACGCGACATCCTGATTAATGACACAGTCTAAAACCGCTCATCCAGCCTTTAGAAAAGAAAGACGCAGCTTTGCAAAGGAAGAGAACTAGGAGGAAAAGTTACACAGGCTGAGTTAGTTAAAAAAGGAGGCAAAATAACCCGAGGCACGAAAGAAAACAAGCCATAAAATAGCACAAGAGAGTTGCTAATTTCGTTCCATCGTTTTGACCCAACCGGGTAAAGACGTACATCGCGGCGGAAGGGGAGGAAGCCGCTGATCGCGAGGCTGGCGAATTTCTGACGGGTTGAGAAAATTCCACAAGGCAAAGGAAAAAAGGCATCCAAAAGAAAAAGGGAAACAAAGCAAAGAAGCCGCCAACCCAAATGACTCCCAAGCGAGAATAAGCCCTATTGAAGACCGGCGGGAGCACAACTGATTGCTCGCAATCCTCCCAGTGGTTCTCGCTTGCTAGCTCCGCCTGCCTTTTACGTAAAGCTCCGTTGAAGGGCCAGGCGGCAGCGCTTACAAAGCAACTCTCGTCCCTCCCTCCGTCGCTTAGTGAACTGGCCACCGCCTTCTGCTCTCCTGCCGCTCCCTTAAGCAGAGCCGGTCTCTGCTGACAGCTGTACGGGTACAAAATGGGGCTCTCTTCCCGTGGGCGCCGCCATTTTGTGGAGAGCCGCCCCAAGCGGTCCTTGGCGTGGGCTCCGCCGCTGCAGCGTCCTCGGCTCGGGGATGCGGGTAGCAATAACGCAGGTGCGCTGGAAGGGCTGCTGGGGTCTTTGGAATGATTGGATTAAAATGACCCCCCCCCCGGGAATCCCCAGCTGACACTTACGTAAGGGACGTGCGCAATTGCTGTGCTCAGCCACAGAAACCTTCCTACTCGGGTTCTACGCAATTTGCCTATCCTCGCCTTCGCTGCCGCTGCCGCAGCCGCAGCCACCGCTAGAGTACACATACACTGAAAGTGACTGGCGCTGGTGAGAGAGGGAGACCCCGCTAGTTTTTGAGTCATTCGAGGACTGTCGACGACTCTCCCGGAATGATCGAGCTTCCGTTTTTATCTGACACTGGTCACTTTACAGTATTAGGTTGATGTTGAGCATTTCTGTAGGTCTTATTTCGTTAAAAAGCGGAGATACCTCCGCCCGAATACTGTCGCTGTCACCCTCTGCTTTGCTGCTGCAGAAAGTTCTGTGGGAGAAATTTCTACAACTTTTCATGTAGAAATTATACAAGAATTTATAGCATTTTTTTAAAAAGCTGGCATGTGTTCCTAAAGGGGTTTCGCTACAATTATATGTCGCAGGCAATTCTTACTAAACATCTTATTACCTCACTTTCTCGTTTTTAATATAAAATGAAAAATCATGGACTTTTGACTTAATTTCCTAAAGAAATGCAATCTAAATTTTGAAGGGAATATTGGTATGTTTGCAGGGTCCTTGGTGCTCTCGGAGCTTGTTTTCTTGCAGATGTTTCATTACCCAGGTAATGAAACCAGGTAACCTCATCGGTGCTAGTAAAGAGTGCTGTTGTTTGTGTAATGAAACATCTGCAAGAAAACAAACAAGCTCAGAGAGCACCAAGGACCCCTCGTGTCAACCCTGAACTACAAATACCGGTATTCTCATTTATTATTAGTATCTTTGCCAGGATCTCTTGAGATCACAAACTACTGGAATTAGTTTTTAAACCAAGTTGTAGTTAACAAAGTGTCAAATTAATAGCATGGCGATGGCGGGCTGAGTTTTCAGTTCACCACATAGAGAAAAGTGTTCCCAGTTTCAAATACCCGCCTACAATTTTGTTTAAATGCATCCTCATCCATGTTACCCTGAATAAATTAAAAAGTTAAGAACTTTTTAGCAAACAGCCTTGTAGAATGCAATCATTTTATGGGCATATCTCCTACTTTAAATAGAAAAAGCCATAATTTTAAAGTATGCATTATTGTAATTTGAATTATCAGGCTAACAACTGTATATTAGCCTTCATTCATAATTGTTTATCCAAAAATCATTTATGATTAAGGTCCCTTTTAATTTATTTATAATGCTCTAAGACACGGGTGTCAAACTAGTGGCATCATGTTGCCGTCATGTGACATTTTGCAATGTTTTTTCCCTTCATGGAGCTGGGCCAGGTATGACCTGCGCATGATGCATCCAGCCCGCGGGATGTCAGTTGACACCTGCCCTAAGAGAACAAAAACATTCTTCAATTCCATACATACAGGTTAAGAATTCTAATTTGAGCCACTATTGTGATTATTTTTCTCCTTATTCATATTCTCCTTCAGATCAATTATACTATTCCTATATATTGCCACATTGAAGTCAGTGAAGTAATTGAAACTGAATCCTAGGCTGTTGTGTATGAGATTAAAACTTTACAGATTTTTCCTTCCTTTCCAATCACTTATTCATTCTGAAAAACAGTTTCCCTCATTGTACATTATCACACAATATAATTGCTATAAAGATGAGGCATCTATAGCGTTCTGAAAGTAGCTGAGTCCAAGCCAATATGGCCATAGCAAGGGATGCTAGATGTAGTTTAGCAGGAGAGGGAGGGAGGGAGAGAGAATGCATTGAACTCCTTCCCTGCTATAATTCCTCTGATACTTATCTTTTATGGCCCCCAAATCTCTCTTCTGCTTATAAAGAATATGATTAGGTATGCAACATTCAAGATGCACAACATCTTTGGATTAAGAAACCTTGAGCTTTGACTATAATTTTTACCAATATCTATATGACTACTGGACACTTATAGCATGCATTGCCTCAAAAAATAATTTACCACTGTCTAAGGCAGTGTTTTTCAACCTTTTTTGTGCAAAGGCACACTTTTTTCATGAAAAAAATCACGAGGCACACCACCATTAGAAAATGTTTAAAAAATTTAACTCTGTGCCTATATTGACTATATATAAAGTAATTTTCCCACGGCACACCTTACACTATGTCACGGCACACTAGTGTGCCGCGGCACAGTGGTTGAAAAACACTGGTCTAAGGGACAGATTCTGCCTTCTACAGTACTCTACAATATTACAAGCATTCAAAGTGTTTAATCTTTTTACTTCCCATTGCAGGAGGTAGAACTGCAGAACAGATTTCCTTTATATGAATTAGTGTTCACTGCCAGGATGAGATTAAAATTGATAGGCTTCATCATTATGCTCTATCAAATGTATTTGGTTTAATTTATAGACAATTTCTAAATATATTTTATAACTTTTTAATTGTGAAATGTATTTTAGTGAGTCTCAAGAGATCACATTTATTAAACTTTTTAATATCTCTTATGTACCACTCTTAATTCTAGGAGTCAGAATTATCCAATGATTACTTTAGATGATTTGTGAAAATAAATGTGTATTATAAATAACTTCACTAAAATTTTACCTTTTACATTTTCTAAAATCTATTAGAGAAGGATATTTATTACTATTTAAAGAAACACAGTGGCTATATTTTTTCAAAAATACCTAGTCCTCTTTTTTATCTTTCAGTAAATATTCAATCTGTTTAAAGTTTGGAAGAACGGAACATTTCCTCTGCCCCTAACCCTGGAACAACCGGTAGTAGCCCTTCCTCTCTCTCTCCTGCCTTTTCTCTTTCCGCCCGGCTTTGTGTGAAGTTTGCGGCACATTGCAGATGAGCCCTTAGCCGCGAGAGAAGCCTATTGTTCCCCGCCAGGAACTGCTCGTTGGCAGGCCTTGCTTTTGCCATTTCGAAGCTGCTTTTCGCAGTGCCTCGACTGACCGCCGGGGTTCGCTGTGTTGCGCACTCGCCCAGGCAGAAGCACGGCTGCCTCAGATCTTTTTGTCTGAAGAGAGAAGCGAATCTTGCTGCTGCCGCCGCCGCCACCGCTGTACAGTGTGTGTATATATGTGCGCGCGCGCGCGAGTGTATGTGAGAGAGCGAAGGACGGGAGATTTCATGGATTCGCGTCTGTAATACACACACACTGTCAGTATCTCACCCAGCCTCCCCAACCCCCACCCTACCACAACACTAACCCAATTCATTGTGCGATTCAGCAGCACCATGTTGAGTCTCATGTGCAGGCTGGTTCGGTTGGGCTTGTGGTGTTGAGAGCAGCAGGCAGGCAGGCAGGCAGGCAGGCGGCGGCGGCGGCGGCGACGGCGAGAATTACCGAGAGGTGCCCCTCTCCCTCCCTGTGTGTTGTGTGGAGACAGGACTTGCAATTGCCACTCTCCGGCTTCTCTTATTCCTTTTAAACTTTTTTTCCTTTTTTTTTTCAACCAAGCCCCTCTCCATGGCTGATCCCCGGCCGAGTACAGGAACCTGGATCTCTTGAAGGCGAGGAGGAGCCGCGGATTGTTGTTGTTTTTCTATTGGATTTTTTTTAAGGAGACAAAACCCAAATCTTTTAAATCCGAGGGGGGAAAATGGCAAACTCGGCCGGAAAAAACCAACCAGACCATCGGAGAAAAGGACTGGCTTTTCTGGACGAGCTGCGGCAGTTTCACCACAGCAGAGGGTAAGGAAAATGGGGAGATGGAGGGGGATGGCGGCGGGGGAGGCTGTTTAAACGGACCGATTTTTAACTTCCAGCCCCTGCCCTGAAGGACGAAGCGGCCCCCCGCGAGGGGAGGAAAGGGGGGCAGAGTTGACAAGTTGTTTGTCTTCCTCTCTCTCTTTCACCAGGTCTCCTTTCAAGAAGATCCCCGTGGTGGGTGGAAAGGAGCTGGATCTTCACGCTCTCTACACCCGAGTCACCACTTTAGGCGGATTTGGGAAGGTGAGTGGAAGTTTTCCTTCGGCTTTCCCTCCCACTAACCTCCCCTCCAAACTCTCTTCCGACCCTGGGGGAAAGGCGGTTGGCGGGGGGTCGGGATCGGTCGTTCCTCAAGCCGGCTTGGGAAGGAGGGAAATGGAAGAGGGAAGCAGGCAAGGTTGGTTGGCGGCTCGGCCTTGTTGGGGAAGAGCCGAAAAGGGGGGATTCGGGGATGCCGGAGACCGCTTCTCGCGACCCTTTCCCTCTGCCCTCGGTGTTCGGCTCCTTCCCTCCTTTCCTGGGGAGAAGGCGAGTGGAGGAGGTTGTGTTTGGGGGCAGTTTCTCCCGTGTGTGTATGTGTGTGTGTGTGTGTGTGTACGCGCGCGCGCGCCTCGCACTGAGTGCAGTTTTAGTGGAACTCAAAATTAGCGGGCATGTTTAACATCGATAATCGGCACGGAGCATGGGCTAGGAAATGGTCCTGGCTGCCATGGGGCGGCCTTGGCGCTGTCCATGGAGCCCCTTCCGGGGAGAAATAACAAAA